GATCACACAGTTAATTTGAAGTATCAGGGAACGTGCAGCGCGTTGTTGAATTTCTTTTTCACTACGTAATTGACCTGATTTGTTTTTAGAGGGTTGAGAAAAGTCAGTATATAACGGTGCATCATATACTGGTCGATACTGTAAATAATCACCAAAAAATATGACGTTTATGCCACCAAATGGAATTTCAGGGTCGGCATGTTTGGCAGCGGACATAATTTGATAAAGTTTTGCAAGTAGAGTTAAACCAACCATACTCATCTCATCAATTAGGAGATACTCAACCAGTCTCCATTGGTTTTCAAGTTTTATGTCACCTGGCTTGATGGTGCGCAGCTTTCCAGAATTACGTTGTTCACCTAAAAATGAATGAATTGTCATGCCGCCAATTTCAGCTGCAGCGATTCCGGTGGGTGCGAGTTTTCTCATCATTTGTATTCTTTTTGTAACAAGGAAGTATTTGGTGACAGCACGAATCAGTTGTGATTTACCGGTGCCGCCACATCCAGGTATGCACATTATCCGCTGACCATTGTTGGTACCTATATATATATATATATATATATATATACACTATTTTGATTTATTATTATACGTATAGATCATTAAAATACCTTCATGACGTTGTTTGTCACCATCAAGATGGTTGGTTATTATCATAAATGCAGCTCGTTGTTCTCTATTCAATGTATATTCTTCAATAATACTTTGTTGAGTGGAATAGCTTGTGGTAGTCACTGACGCAACTGGACGAATTTGAGTGTAATTATCAAATATATCTATGTTATGATTATTTGAATTGACCATAGTTACAAGTGCATCCTGTATACTATCATAATCTAATGTATCATCCGTTTTGTCATAGTTGCCCGTAATCAAACTTCGTCTAACTCTTTCTTTCTCAGTCTTTAGTTGTTCTTGCCACTGTGTACTGAGTCGAACGAGCTTAGGTGCTGCTGAGACGAACGGCACAATTTGTTGAAAGTGATCTCTAGAAGATTCATTTACTAACGATTGACTGTTAGCTACAAAAAAGTAGTGACGTTTATATCTACTGCATAATTAACCCTAGTAGTACCGCCCTCAGTTTTGCAGTTTTATTCTACTA